GCATCGGTTTTATTGCCGGTGATTATGTGCTTAAGAGTGGCGTGAATGTCAAATGGTGTGGTCAACCGGTTTTCATTGACAGATAGGCTACCGGTGCGCCACTGTATAGGCACATACAGGTGCATGAATGGCATTCGCTCCTCCAGTTTCCCCGATAGGGTTTCCCTGATTGTGCCGAACCTAATGCCGTGGTCTGAGAAAAATATGAGTATTGTGTTGGACAGTAGGTCGGAGTCAAAGAGTTTGTTGAGTAAGTGGTGCACCGGTAGGTCGGCCAGACCGGCACTGTTCAGGTGGTCGTGGGTTAGCCGAGCCATGAATGTGAAGGCAAAGTATTTCTGGTTTCTTCGTGTCATTGCTGTCACGAAGTCGTAGATATAGTCGTAATAAGTCTATGGGTTTTGAATGCAAACAAGTGATTAAAATTTTGTTATTATGTGATAAGTAGACTGCATTTTAGTGATAACAATGTTATACATGTCATGTATATAAAGAATATGATATGAATTAAGCAAATATTTCTATTTACTGAATATTAGTTTAATACTGAATAACATATGTTTTTTGTTTTGTTAATGTTTACCAAAAAACATTTGCTATGATATTTACCTCAATCTCAGTCCTATCGTAATAGCAATTATTTTTGACTTTCTTATCTATAGCCAGACTATAAGGTCTCAGATAGTAATCAGTCGGCGGTTCACTGAAACCCTTTTTGAGAAAATTAAATGCCGCCACTTGTGGCCAGTCCTCCATGAGCAGGGTATTATAGCCGCGATTATGATAATCCTAGTAACAAGCAAATAAGTGCATTAATTACACCAAATTATTTAGTTTTTAAACTAATGTCTAAATTTCTGATTACTTTCCAAACGAAGGGAAAGTAATTTAAGTAAACTTTTTTACTCATTGTCTCATTCCAGAGGTCGTCGATGTAATGGCCGGTTAGCAGTGGCGTGAGGTTAGGGTAGGTATTGTCGGCCACTTTGTTATAGCCGTACATCGTGTAAAAATCATGTCTGTCCAGCAATTGTATGGTTTTAGGGAAGTGTCGGTCAAAGTTGAGTCGAGATATTGAGTCGATTCCCACAAACAGAATATTCGGTAAATTCTGGCTTTCATTGTGTGGTTTTATACTGAGGTCCGGTATGAGTGGTATAGCCTTTACATATTTTTCTGTAATTTGTTTTAAAAATATTATCAATACTAGTTAATCATAGGTAATAAATTTATTATATAATATTTAAATGTAGTAAATGGCATTATCATAAATAAAATAAAATTTCTTAGTATTGTCTTACATAATGTGTTTCCAGTAGTATAATAATGTGAACTAGGATGTGCAAATAAACTCAAATTCCTAGAATTTTAAAATACTATCTAACATCATTTATAAAGGTGAGATTTAAAATCTCTTTAGAATTAATGGGAAATCAATGGTATATAAATTAAACTTGAATTAGTTGTAAATCATAATTAAAGAGAATCTCAAATAACATTTTTAATTTATGTGTTAATTAAAAAATTAAGTGCAACTTCTGATAATGAATATACAATAGAGTATTCTTGCTGAATGTTAAGTTTAAGAGTTGTATTAATATAAGTAGGCTGATTACTAGATAGAGATAACAAAAACATTTCCAATTAATGATAAGTATTGAATAGTTTCATAAAATGTTCTTTATGGCAATAAGTTATTTATACACAATATAATTGCAAACCTTTTCCTAAAACACATGTAATCGCCACAAGACTGACAGTAGACTCAAAATATATCACAGAATTGCAGTCAAACCCATGACCACGAGAATAGTCCAGATAACCATCGGTTCCACTTCTTCGTGAGACTATACTATAGGAACAGTTCATAGGTTTTCCCGATTTGTTCACAACTCTAACGCCCGTAAAGTTGTATCTCTCGATCGTTACGTCCCGAAAGTGGTCATCAGTTTTACAATGAATTCTCTCATTTGATTTGTTGCGATATAAGGGCACAACCTGCTCATCAAATGTAGGCCACCTGACAATCTGACACCGGGATGTGTTCACTAAGTATGCCGTCCTTTCCTTCATTTCCCTTTTCTCGGGTTTGACTGATAAATAGATGTTATAATTAAATTCAATATAACTTAAGTTATATTATATTACATAACTACTATATTATAATTATGTATTTATGCATATTATATAAAATATTACTGTTGTTTATAAAAAATTTATTTTAATAAAGTGTAAAATTTTCCGTATGATAAGAAACAACAAATTAATAAACCATTTAAATGAATGCATATTAAGAATCAGAGACACGTGTTATTATGAATAGAAAATAGAAAATAAAATCTCAATAAATTAATATTAATTTGGTAAACATGTTTACGATACTCGAAATAAACATATTTATAATTACAAAGTATAAGTTTATATTAAATTATATCATTTGTGTATATTATGGTAATTCTTACTAATTTCCAACTCCGATACATAATATTTATGTAGATTGAATCTAGTATTTGTTAAAACAAATAGAAATAATCCACCACTTATAATTAGCAACAATTTTAAATATGAGTTTCGTTTTATCATCACAGAACTAATCACTCATTTAAAGTATTTAACAAATTAATCAAAGGTAAGGCACTAAATAAAACTATTTAAAAATGTATGTAAATTTATAAAATACTTTTATACAAATTAATAATAAACTCCCGTATAATAAAAGTAAACATTTATTCATTATCAATCTGTGATTTTATTAACAATAACTGGTAAAAACCATTTATTTGGATTAGGACTTAAGTTTAATACAATCAATAATGTAGATCTTATAATAATTGAATCTAGTTCACATTTAAAGTATTATACTGTACATTGGGGAACATTGTAGTTGGATCACAATAGATATGGGTGCATTAGTGATAAACGTTTGGGATCAAATAAACCTACAATTCATGATAATTGTATACAATATATGCTGTAAATTGTAATCAGTTTTGCAAAATTGTATTGTGTATTACAGTAAGTCCGTAATGTGTTATCAACGTTAATAACTTAGTTATGATTTTATTAGTATATTATTGACATCCCGTTTGTCTCAAATATCTAATTGTTTTTGTAAACTCTTCAGATGTTATAAAAATACAATTATTCTCGCTAACTATTATCAAATAGAAATTTTTTCAAATGACTCATTTGTAATTATAACCTACTATTGACTAAATATGTTTACCATTTATCTTACAGTACAGTATACTCTAAATTTAATTGTTAGAGTTTAACACTTCCCAGGCATTATATTTGTCTAGATTCAAGAGTAAAAATTACTGGTAACTTAAATCTATTGCCAATTAATTATATAATTTAAGATTATGTTGACTATCACTTGATTCATAAAATTATCTTATCCGAAAATTATAATTAAATCAATCGTATGACAAGGTTTCGCAACATACAATACAATACATAATAAATTTCAAAATTATATAAAATTTATGTAATATATTTTGTGATAGGAGGCCGAGTAGGTATCCAACCTATCAAAGTCCAACAGCGTTAGTTCAATAAAGTAAAAGTGTAATATAAGTTCATAATTAATACTTATCTAAAAAGTCACTTAAAGTTGGTTACTGGCTGAGAAACTTTGCCCTTCAATGCCAATAGAGATAATGATTGTAACGCACGCCGGGAACTCCGGGATCTACACATACATAACATACCAAACCCTTTACTTAATTTATATCTCAAAGTACATGTTTGTGCAAAAGTAGATACACTTTTCGCAGTATTTTCAGATTAATAGTGCAATATCTCAAGATATTGTGGACTCATATATGAGAAGTTAGAGAAAAATATGTTTGCTTTAAGAGTTATGTCATAAGAAATCGACTAATAGACTAAAAGTCTAAGTTTATCGTATATAAAGATTTTTTTATTAATGTATATTTACAAGGATTTTAAGGACAAAAATTATGCAGACACAAAACATTTGGGATTTATATAATACAATACAGTATTTCTATATAAATAATAAACACCTCATACAACATTATTTTATAAAAATAATTTCTTAATAAAAACACAATGTCTTAGAAATACTGTACAAATTAAATAGTATTCAAACCTAAACAACACTACAGAATAATAAAATAATTATAATTTAGGTTTAAATTGAGATATGAATTATTGGATGACATGTTTAAATAATAGGTAAATTTAGTTTAGGCTCTCGACTGAACGGATAGTATCACTCGCTCCGGGGTGTGATTCAATACACTAGACTTTAACAGCACCGGTATGTCTGTGTTCTTAGACGTAACTAACTTATACCTCCTGATAACGTGACATAAGGCTAGTTTGACAACCATTAGGGCAAACCTCGTGCCCACACAAGCTCTATGACCGGTGCCAAAGGGCAGGTAGGTGTAGGGCACTAGTTTGTGGCTAT